CCCTGACCACACACCCCTTGAGATCGCCAACCTGTTTCCGTCGGAATCAGAACACCCCTCAAGGAACAAAGTTGGGAATTGTTTATGACTTTTTATTCCTAACACAAAAACACTTGACAAGAATTTTTAAATACAAAATACAAAAACAAACCAAAAGACCTGTTTGGCTATTCAGTGGACCATACCAAAGGCCACGGCCAGGCCCCCCAGCCCCCCCCGCCCCCGCTCCCGAATCCTCACACCCAACCTCTTTGCTCGCCCCGAGGGTACAGTGCGGGCCACCTTGCAGAGGTTCACTTAACAAGGTCAGCAGCTGGGCTGCTAGTATTGCAGTTAGAGTAAACCCCTCCCGGGCACCTGGACACAGGGTCCACTCCTGTCTCCTCTGCCCAAAGAATAACTATAGTGTGCTTCTCAGTCTACTAAGTGGTTGCTTCTGGAGTCTTCTGACTGGTGTTACACTGGGTTCTAAACACATAGACAGTTCACTCAGGCCATTACATTTAATTCCCCGAATTGGTGTTGGACAGCAAGGTGGCCGAAAGGATTTATTTGCCTTCCATCCGGGTAGCTGGTGGATACAGTCTTTGGCCACTAGAGGGCGACCAGACGTTGATAAGGCAAAGGGCCGAGGTGGAAGCTGACCAATCCCTTCACAAGTCACCCGTGAGCAAGGCTGGCCAAGTGGGAAAGGAGGCTCTGTTAGGCTTCCCTGCAGGATCCTTTGACAAAACATACAGCACAGAGGGGGTTTAACCATAGAAACCCGTCTTTGAGGTGTTGCTCTGCCCAGGGACGGACCACCTACAAAACCATATTCTCCAAGCCTCCGGTTCGGGGACGTGGATTTCTGTGCGGCTTCCGGTATGCAAGGTATCGGAAGAACCGGAATATCTGAAAACCTGTCCCCCAAGACCTCGAAGCCTCAGCCACCACTGCTGGATTATTAAAGAAACGAAAAGCAAAAGCTGCCCTAAACACATGCAGTGTGATCAATGCCTCCTGTTGCCCCAGAGGTTTTACAATCACTTGAAGGAAATGTGTGAAAAGTGCCTAAGTTAAGCTGTTTTGAAAAAAACAAAAAACAAAAACAAGTGTATTGCTAGTATCGTCTGAGAGCAAGAGAGAAACAGCCAAGCGGTCACAACGGTCGGATTAAAAGCTGCTCGGTGGGGACAATGACAAGGCTAATGTGAGATTCGAGACCGCCACCTAGCCAAGCTGGGGTCGAACTTCTCACCATCCCCGTGAGAAACTATGGCTTTGATCTGTCCCGGGGAAGGGAGCTGGCCTCATATAAGGGAACTGGGCCAGGACCAGGTGGGTTTGAATCCACTGCTGGTTGGTGGCCTTGCAGAGATCTCTCACCCGGGACTCGAGCTGGGCGCAGCCAGAGGGTGAGATTGGTTTCACAGGTGAGTGACGGATTCCCGATGCTCCCGGGTGGGAACCTGAGCCTATCAGGGTCGAAAGGGACCTTGGTGCTCATTCTGTCCAATGCTCTCCTTCATTAGTGAAGGGAACAGAGAGGCCCCAGATCACACAGCAAGTGAGAAACATCAGGCTTCTGAGATGGCTTATAGTTGGGTGACTTGCTCTGTAAACCCATTTCCGACAGTTTTAGCTTTTCATACATACGTAAAAAGAGGCACCAAGATCTAAACTCACTGTTCCCTTTCTCTAGGGCCTCCAACAAAAGGGCCAGCAAAGGGCTAGCCCTAGGATCGGCTCTGCCACTATTTAGGAAGGGAATCTCGATCCCCCCGCCGCCGACCAGCCCCTCTCCCGACCCCAGCCCAATCCCTAGGAGAGTCCCTCACACAGCCGGAGACCCACATTTGCCAGCGTAGAAACATGGAGCCAGGCTGAAGTGACGTGGTTTTCTCAAAGTGCTTTTATTGGTTCAATGCGAAGGCAGGCTCTGTCTACTTCCTGATATCCTGCGGCCGGCTCCCGGGGGTCCTCCCCCCACCCAGCCAAGGGCATTTCTGTGGGTTTCCCAGCCCCCGAGCTCTCCCTCCATTTACCCTGTACCTCCGGACTCCGCGCACAGCCCTGGAGCCCACCTCTGTGGGCAAATACCCCCCGGGACCTGGCGGCCAGCTTAAACACTGCACCAACTCCTGCCCCGGTGGGAAGGGACGAGGGGGTCCCTCTTCTTTGGCCAACAAAACCATGAGGTTCACCGTATTTGCTACTGTACATCCCATTTCCTCCCTTAGTCCTATCTGAGGGTAACTGCCACCTCTCAGACGGTAAGAAAAAGACTGCAGTTTTGATGTCAGGGAGTCAGATCAACCCGCCGTCCGGGGCTGGTTCTGCTTTGCAGCTGGGACGGCCCCTCTCTCAAGCTGAAGGCTCAGCTGTGATTTCAGCGCAGCCCAAGGCCTGGGGTGAGGTTCTCCCCTGTCCCTCCAGAAGGACCACATGCCAACTCTCTCCCTGCCGCCGCCTCCCACCACTCACTCGGTGGCCTTGGCGGGCATGCTGCAGACGCCTAGAAGAAGCCGCTCTCAAAACTTGCCCCAGCACAGGCTCTATGCAATGCCAGCCTTCTTAGTGCGTCTCTCCCTACACCAGGACTTGGGTACTGAGTGTCTGCAGCTCAGAGCTCTCCTCCCTTCTTCCTCCTGCCCCCAAGCCCTGCCTCGCCCCCCCCCGCCCCCCAACACGGTCAGCACACCACACTGCAAGGCCCCGCTGCAGATGCGGACACCTGCTCGGTGGCTCTTTGACTCAAAACTTGGAAGCAAGGTGTGATGGGCCACGCGGGGGCGGGTGGGGGCCTTCTCTGCACTCCATCCACTCATATTCTTTACCTCTTTGATGCATTTTCCTTCGGTAACCAGAACCCCCAAGACTGAGGATTCTGATTCAGCCTGGTACCGACTGAGGAAGGAGATGAAGAATTCCACTTAGCGGTTGGACCGGACATTTCCGAAAACACCAGCACGGCACACAGACGGACAGCACAACGTGCCCGGCGTGGGCGGCTGTCAAGAGAGTCTCCTGCCAGTTTTTATGGCATCACACGTAAACATCGTCCAGAGCACACACTGGGACAGAGCTACAATGACATGGTCGCTAGCAGCAGCTGCTCCCTCTGGGTTACTCCTCAATGTGGTGGGCGAGGGACCAAGGTGGACTAGCTTCCCTGGAGAGACCGTGGAGTCTCCTCGGTTAGTGATACACAGCACCGAATGAGTCTTCCGGATAGAGGTTGTCTGCAGGCTCGGTCAGTGTTCCACCTTGTAGCCTGTTAGGGATGGGATGGCAAGCAGAAACTGCTTGGTGCTCTTCGCCAGCATCCTGTCCCCCCACAGCCAGCCCTGACCTTAGGCACGGGACCTCCCAGTGCCATGCTCGCATCTCTGCTCTGCTCAACGGGCGGTATCTGAGGACCTTCGAGTGTCCTGCAGCCATGTGAAGTGATGGGCAGCCTCAGCTGCCCCAGGAAGAGGGGAGGGAGAGACTGGTCTTCCACTAAAAGTCTGCCTTTCTTTACCCTCCCGGACCACCTGCCCAGGGGAGAATCTCTGACCTAGGGCAAACCAAGGAAGAAACAAGTAGGAGGGGCTTAGAGAACCTCTAGTCCAACTCCTTCTGGAGCAGAGGAGAGGGGGAGGGATTCTGTGACTTCGCAAGGTCACAGAGCTCTTGGTGGAGCCAAAACTCAACCCAGCTCTCCAGACTCTGAATCTCAAGTTCCTTCCTACTGGTTTCCACAGGATGAACCCTAAGTGTACTCCTTGGTGCAAATCAGGACTTAGGGGAGGCAGCAGACAGATTTAAATTCTATTCTATTGCATTCCACAACCATTTATTGTGTGCCTACTGTGTGCTAGGCAGTGAACAGCTGTAAAAGGAATTTACAATGTTCAGGTCTGTGCTGTGGAAAAGTCCCTTTTTTTGTGGTTCATCCTCATAAACCCCACCTCCCTCAAACATTTCATGTCCGCTATTCCGCTTGCTCCCCCCCGAACCCAAGTGGGGGTTGTGTGTCACAGTATTGGGAGTCCTGTGCCAATGAATGGCTTTAGGGGAATTTTCTCTCATAGACCAGGACATGATAGACAGGGATGGGCCAGCATGAAACCCAGCCACCATTTGGTTCGATATGATGGAAACCTTTCAAAGATCAGACCAGGATGTCAGATGGTTTAGTTAAACTCTGATCCATTAGTAATGGCTGCCCAGAGCACTGTGTTGAGAATTCTAAAAGAACTCCCAAGCTCAAAGAACATGAGTGCTGTGGTCGATTAGTTATGTCTGCCACTGGCCAAGGATGTGGCAACAGTGGTACATGTGCCATGTATTTGCCATCTTGAGCTAGAGACCACCTTTGCAGAAGCTAAGAGCTGGCAGGGACCTTAGGGTCCCTACTTCTTGCCTACTTCTCCCCCTCAGTCCATTTCACAGAAAAGGAAGTTGGGGCCCAGGGAGGTGGAAGGAAGTGACTTGATACTCAGGAGCTCAAATTCCCTATTCCTTCTAAAGCCCGTTTCCTCCAGCCTTCTTCTCCATGGGCTTGGAGTATGCTCACCTCCCAGGACAAGCCCATGGGATACCTACTCAGGTATCTGATCATCTTAAAAATAATAATAATGATCAAATACCAATTCTCAAAGTTCTAAGCCTGGCAGGAGCAATAGATTAAATTAGCTTGTTGAGTTTACTGAGTTAATTTCAAAAGTTTTTAAAGCAAGCAGGACTTTTTCTCTTTCTTTTCTTCTTAATACAAAAATTTCCCAAGGAACCCGGACATACGAACGAGATGAAGTTGGAGGTAACGAGCTCATACCCTGCCCGGCCATGCTTTCCCTCACGAATGGCCCCCCAAGGCACCTGCAGAACATCCAAGCTGGACATGGTTTTGACATCACTCAAGAACATAAAATTTAAAGTAAAGCCCAATTAGAATGTTGTCTAAGTTGGAAAGGACCTTGGAGATTGTCTTCTCCACCCCCGGCCCCCACATGCCCCTCCTGCTTCCCCTGCCTCAAGACAAGCTGGTAGGAGGAGAATGGGTCGGTGGCTGGCCCTGGAAGGATGACTGCTCCCAGATCACCTGCCTGTGCCACTCCAGGTATGTCACTGAGGTTCTGATGGCATGTCCACATGTACAGGCAAACCACAGAACCCTCTGGATCAAGACGCATGCCCAAGCCTAAACTTGCCTAATGCTGGCGAGCCAGCTTTCGACTTAACCCTCCAAGTAAGCCCAGAGGCCTCTAGCCTGTGGCCCAACGTAGCTGGCCTCACCTCTACCGGCCCCTGGAACTGCGCATCTTTACCCCAGCTATTGCAAGAGCATGGGACCAGGAATCAGGAGGCCTGGGCTGAGTCACCGCTCCGCCCCGTCACTGGCCATGGGACCTTGGGCAAGTCACATCCCCTCTTGGGGCACTGCCCACCTCGCCTGGGAAAGCAAGAATCAGGTGGCTCGCCCCACCTTCCTTACAGGCTCTGCCAGGATCCGAGCACTCCAGGCCAGGCCCAAGCTCCGAGCACCGGCTGGCACCAGATGAGGGTTCCAACTGGAACTGGACCCATACGTGCTCAGTGAGAGACAGGGCAGAGCTTGGCAGGCGAGTCCCAGAAGCCTTTCTCCACTGCTCCGACTTGTGGCTGCAGCCCGCGCTCCCCTGGGGACCAACCCGCCAGCCACCCAGCACCTCTAGGGCGACCTGGCCCAGGGAGCACGGCAGCTCAGAGGCAAACACCTCACGACGGTGCATAGTTAAAAAATCAAGGAAGCGATACAATAATCCCAGGCACAGTACGTCTGAGCCATAAATACGTTATTTGAAGGATATACTTTTTTTTTCTTCAATTAAAAACGAGTGTATAATCCTGATTCTATTCACGAGTAACAATTTCATCATCACATACTACGGACGAGAACTGTTATGGTGCACACGGCTGCACGTCTACGAGGGGAGCCGGTCAGGGAGCGAGGGGACGGGGGCTGGCCCAGCACCGGGAGGCGCGCCCAGGGCCGCCCGCTGGAAGCGAGGACGCTACGGGGGCATCAACACCATGGAAACTCACAGACAGAAGCAGCTTTGTTCAATGTAAACTGATTATTTTTTTTAAAAGGACAGCAGTTTCAAGTCTCTCTCTCTCTCTCTCTCTCTCTCACGTGTGTTCTCTCACGCGCTCGCGCTCTCGCCTTCTCGTATACTTAATTTCTTTGAAAACGTAAACATATTGGAAGGGCCTTGTCTGAGGTATTGAGGTATTCCTCGAAGGTTAAGGCTGTTATCAATGCAGGCTCTGCTGGGCCTCCTTCAGTAAGCTGTCAAAATCCATGGCTTCGTACTTGTTTTTCACTGACGCAGGAAGGGCCTCTTCTGAATTGGAATCTGGGCAGGGGGTGGAGGAGTCAAGGAGAGGGGAAGGCGGTGAGCAACTCAGAAAGGCCGGACCATCAGGAAACCTGCCACCAGGGTCAGCCCCGTGGAGCGCGTGTGGCCCAAGGCCTCAGAGAGCACTAGACAGCAAGCATTACCTCTGCCCCGTCGTCAACGGCTCAGGGCTGCCCTGTTTCCAGAACGTGGTGGCCCCGACTAGCGTGCCCCACAGCTCCTTTCTAGCTCCGATATCCTACAAAGCTGTCTCCCTAAGAGCTTCCTGCCCACTGGTAAACCACTGCTGACGTCACCTAAGGTGGCCAACAAAGCTAGGATGCCCCGTGGACGGGCAGCCAGGCGAAACACGGCCTGGCCAGGAACCCTCCTGCGTGTCCTCACCCTCGGACCTGCGCTGCGGAGACAGGTCAGACTCTCCTCTATAGATCCCTCTCTCCTAAACGGTACGTCTTTGTCCCTCTTCACTAGCTCGTCCCCCAGTGGCGAGGGCGTGCTGACAGTATTATTTCGCTGCGGCCCATTGACAGACAAGGCTGCCTACTGCCTGTTGGGGCCACGATGGAATGCCCCCGAAAAGCAGCAGGGTAGCCACTGGCCCCCGGAAGGTAAAAGAGACAGTTAATCATGGTTCTGCCAACTGGCTATGAACACAAGACTGGACCTTCCAAGAGGCCACAGGGGCCTCGAATCTCTCTCTTGGTACCAGTCTTGAGACAGGACAAGACGGACCGGAGACCAAAAGAGAAACAAGATGGCAGCCTCCAGGCTGCGAAGTTTGACCGGTAGGCACGTTAGAGCTTTAGGGCGGGAGCTGGGTCAGAGCGGGCTTTAGGTCTCACTGGAGTGTGGCGGGGCCTTGTGCACTCACCATAGTCAGTGTGTCTGGGCCAGCAGAGGTGCTGGAGTCCTCCATAGCTCAGCTGGAAGGAGGGTTCGTTGCGTTTCCGCAGGGCAGCGCCATTCCTCAGAGACAGGGCAGCGTGCTCCGAACACCGGTAGGTGATGAAGCCATACTTCTCGCCTCTGTGGGGAGAGGTCAGGGGGAGCACGTTACTGAGCCAGCTTGGTCGACACTCTCAGACCACCCATGATGAGATAATGAGCGGAGAGCCACACTGATTCAGTAACCATGTCGCATGGCCCCCCAAATACAGATGATGGCCATCGCTAGGCCGGCCTCTACTGTGTAATAATAGTAAGAGCAGGTGATTCACAGAATGTCTGCCACGCGCCTCAACCTTGCTCCCCGTCAGGGATGAGGAAACCGGCTCTGCGGAGCTCAGAATTTGTCCCAAAGGCAAGTGGTAGGGCAGGGTATTCAAACTCAGGCCTCCCAGCAAGAAAGCTTATTTGCCACACCTCTACCCCCAGTCTAGCCCTCCTGCCTCCTTCAAAGCCAGCCTCGGCCACCACTTCCTTGGCTGCTAATGTGGCCTCCCCCTTCCCTAATACAGCTGGTGTTCTGTACACATCCCGTCCTTTGTGGTAGACAACGCCGTGTCTGCCGGCTCAGCATCCACTCCCCTTCCTCTGACAACGGTGCCGTGTGTTCGCAGCGACCCGTCCAAGGATGCGCCTGCTGCCCAAAGCAGAAACCCAAAGAATCTGTCCCAGCTCTTGGCTGGAACTGTGAGGGAGACCCCTCCTTTCCCCGGTAGGAGGTAGGTAAGCTTAGAGCTGGAGGCAGCCACTTTGCCATCGGAGGGCAGCCTGCACGAGAAGGATGTGAGGCGAGGGGCTCCTAAAGTCAGTTCTTCCCTTAGCTCTTCAGCTCTACAAATAGCAAGAAAAAGAATCCTGGCTGCTAGTCCCTCTGCTATGTAGAATCCTCAGGGCAGAGACACGGTGGAGTGCCCCTACCGCTCAGGACGGGCTTACCAACACCAGGAGCCTAATAAACACTCAGCTGAATCACATTTCCTGACTCCTCTCTGAACCAGGCCAAAGTTGGCCCCCTCCACCTCTTGAAACGTCCAGGACTGCTCGCTTTGTTTTTGCATGCTCTTTCCATTTGATGCCCTGAATACTGCACAGAACTTAAAAAACAGCTTACTTGTGTAATGACTTTTTTGTTTTAATTGTGGTAAAAAACACAAAACATAAAATGTACCATCTTTAGAACAAGTGTACAGTTCAGTAGTGTGTTCAGTATATTCACGCTGCTGGGAACGGATCTCCACTCTCTCTGCTGCTTGCTGTTTCCTGGCATTGGACTACTCCAGATAACTCATGTAATGGAATCATACAATCTTTGTCCTTCTGAGACTGCTGATTTCATAGAGCATAATGAGGTTATGATTATCAAGGTCCATCCATGCTTGAGACATGTGACAGGATTTCCTTTCTTTCTAAGGCTGAGTAATATTCCACTGTATGCAGAGACTACATTTTGTTTATCTGTTCATGAGTCAATGGACACTTGGGTTGTTTCTACTTCTTGGTTATTGTGAATAAAGCTCCTATACACATGGGCGTGCAAGTATCACTTCGAGATCTTGCTTTTGATTCTTTTAAGTATATACCCAGCAGCGGATTGCTGGATCATACGGTAATTCTCTATTTCATTTTTTGAAGCGCCTCCATACCGGTTTCCATGGTGGCTGCCCCAGTTTGCATTCCCACCAACATGCACGAGGGTTCTGATTTCTCCACACCCTTGTCAACACTTGGGATGTTCTGTAGCCACCTTAATGGGTATGAAGTGTGTAATGATTCCTATATAGAAACTATTTTCTCAATGAAGCTTTTAAAAATGATCGTTAAATTAGAATTTAAAAACCTCAATAACCTAGTTGGCAAATACAATGGGAGATACTTTAGTATTATCTCGAAACTGACAGTTTTGACATCTAAGTTGTGCATTTACACACAACCCATTCTTCTTGCAGATCCCCTGACAGATGAACACTGCTTCCCCAGGTGAGGGAGGAAAAACCAAGACACCCAGCAGAATAAAAGGTCTGAAGCTGGCTGGTCCAGTGGAATGGAGGGATGTGAGTAGCGGGGGTCTTGCAGGTCAGCGACGTTCCAGTACAAGTGTGCAAGTTAAGCCCCCGGGGGTTGTCTGCTGCCCTGTACCAGCCCCAGGGTAGAGAACCTGAAGCAGACATGTGGGCTGCAGATTCAGCTCTGCTACTAACTAGCTGCTCACTTAACTGGTCTGAGCTCTCCTGAAAGGGAGAGCGCTAGAATGAGCGCAGAGGTCACAGGCATGCCCGAAGGCTGAAGAGAACGCACAGGAATTGCCTGGCACTTAGCAAACCACCAGCTTACTGCTAGGCCGCACAACTGTTACTGGACCTTCTCTGGGGCCTGGCTCTCCAGGTCCAGGCTGCGGGTTTCATCAGATTTGTTCTGCACATCTTCTCGGGCATCTTCTGTGTGGCCAGCCCCGGACTGGGACCTCTGCCCCTCCCCGCTCCCCTCTTCTGCAATAGCTTGACCTGACTCACCTCCTGCTTCTCGTCAGCACCTGGCACTCCACAATCTCACCAAACACTTCGAAGCGTCGCTTCAGCTCTCGGGAGCTCATGTCACTGGAGAGATTTCGAACATACACCACACGGCCTTCGCCCTGCTCAAGAAGGGAAACACAGAAAGACCCAGTCACTGCCTGGCTTCCTGGGACCCCCTTGATGGTGGGCTCCTGTGGAGTCCTTGTCCTCAGCCCATGACACCTGGCTGAGTGGGTGACACCAGCTGGGGCTGGAGTCAGAGAGGACGATGACGATCCCTATCCCAGAAGACCTGCCTTGTTGCCGGAGGGGCCGCCGAGTGTCGGATGGGGAATGGTTCCCAAAGGAAGCAACTGCTCGCTTGAAGGAAAGGAGCCGAGAAGGGACAGAGACGAGAGAAGGGTTCATCATTAATGTAACTGCCTACTTCCACAGCTGTGTTCTGAGCCTGGGACTTTTTCTGGTCATGGGGGAGGTTGTGGTAGAAAGGCAAGTTGCCAAGATGGTAATGGGCAAGGATGGGGAGCCAGGTCGTTGTGGGGGTCACGGTGGGCTGGGAGGAGGGCAAAGGGATGCAGGCCATGGGGCTCGGAGCCACCATCATCCCCAGCTGTGCCAGGCCAGCGTGGGGACACTGTGATTTAAGAGGTCACATCAGGCGAGCTGGGTCCCTCGAACAGCCCCGCAGAGGGAGGGGTGGGGAGAAACCCAGGCTGGAATGTCCCCTCCTCTCCTCTCCAATCTGTGACTGGATCCAGTTCAAGGCCCTGCTGCTGGAAGAGCTGCTTTGACCCGCTGGGTCAACTCCAGCTGCATTCCTGGAAACCTGTGCTCCGGTGGGTCAAACGACAGGTTCTGGTTTGGACAGGCTTTCTCTGGGAACAGGTTCAGGCCAGTGATTCTGGAGCCGTTCCATTCTCATCTCACAGAGGACAGGGAGGGAAGGTCGGCCCAGGGGCCACGGTAGGCCTCCGCTGCCAATCGCAGGGGAACGGGGTTCTGCTCAGTGAAGGAACGCCCTCCCCCAGGCTCCTGGCGGCTCCTTCAACTGGTAAGGTTCTTTGCTGCTTTGGCCCCACGGTCCTCCTGAAACTGCCTGGTGGCCCGTTTCATCCATCAGCATCTAGCTCCTTGCCGATGTCCTTCCCAGACCGCCCTATGAATACATCCTCCCCGACAGTCAACACACGACTGTTGATTTCGGAGACTTTAGCCTGCCATGATTACTGCCACCGCGCCCCTCCCCACCTCTGATTACAGTGATTATTCCTTGTTTATGAGTCTGCTGCCCTTCTCCCCCTTCTGCCCCAGCCACAGGAATTGGGGGGAACCTTGTCCGTCTCGCTCATGCCAAACACGTCACAACCGCTGAATGGTCACACATGCATTCCAGAAAGACGCTCCAGGTACAGCCCGTGCTGGTCAGGACCTGCTTGCTGACAGCTGTGCACCTCTGGGGTGTGCACACCTCATGTACCCACCCCGCCGTCCCTGCCCCGGAGCACCCATCACAGGGGAAAGCAATCAAGTTCAAGTCTGTCTGTCTGTGCCCCATCTTACTTTCCCTTCCCTTCCTTCTAGTGACGTGGAGGGGCTGGTTCCAGCTCTCCTCTGCAGCTTCCTGGCACAGCCTGGGCCCAGAGACTAACTCTGGGGGAGGATGAGGGAGGTCAGTGGGAAGCAGGGAGCAGGCTCTCCTGATCCCTTAGCCCTGATCAAGCTGGGGGACCCTTAGGAAGGACAAGGCCCAACTCCCTTATGTATGGATGAGTAAACTGAGGCTCAGGGAAGCTGGGAGACCTGCCCAAGGTCACACAGAAGGTGGCAGCAGGGCTGCTCTGTGGCCTGGTTGGCCCAGCTCTGCTCCCCACTGCCCCCCCACCACACACACACACACACACACAGCCTGCCCTCTTGGCCCTGTCGAGCCTCCAATGCTCAGCCCTAAAATCACCACCGGCTCCGTGCCTCACAGCCAGTCCCTAGGCCACACTTTGCACGATGCCACCTCTGGTGCCCTTTGGGGACCCAGGTGCTTTCTGAAGTCAGAGAAATGGAATTATCTTCTGCAGGCCACAGCCAGCCTCAAAGGGCTTCAGGTCTAGGAAGTCCTGGCACGTCCTGATGCCCCTGCTCTTCCCCACTCACTCCGGGCTCCGGGGCCCCAGATCACTTACAATGGCCTTTTCCCGCCGCTTCCTGGCATGCCGGACGCTTGGCGTTCCGTCTGAACACGGCCCTCTGCTCTCACATCTGTCAGTGAACAAGCAAAGCAGAGGCACTCACTCTCAGGAGGGACCACGTTAGGGTGGGCGGGTGCAGCTGCCCCAGGAAGCAAGGGACGCTTCTTTCGAACTCGCTCACAAGGGCGCCTACAGAAGCCCAGCTTCGCCCCCAGCAGCGATAGCCCGGGACTGCGTGCGGGTCTGCACCATTGGACACATGGCTCTGGCCACAGCTTCTGGGACTGGATTGCTGGGAATCACTGTGTCGCTAATCAGCGCCTTTTTATGCCATGAGGGCTCTTTCGCTTCATTACTGCATTTGATCTGATGGGGGGAAAAGCAACCTATGAGGTCTTACGTTTCCCCATTTTCCAAAGGAAAACCCCAAGGCTCAGGTTCAGTATGGGATCTGCCTAAAGCTAGAACGTGGGGTAGCCAGAGCTAGAAGGAGAGCTGCTCATCCTAGACCCACTGCTCTCTAGCGCTTGGTGCCCAGCCAAGAGGCGAGCCCGGCGGTCACAGCCCCCATGGCCAGTCCGGCTATGAGGCTCTTCAGCCCGGGCGCGCAGTCCCAGGACCCTCCTGGGCGCCACATGCCCGCATCCTCTCGCCTGTCCTCCTCCAGGGAGCCAGATGCTGGAGTGGAAGGAGCGTGGCATGCACGGCTGGCGGGGAGTCCTGGCTCTGCCCGTTCCATCTGCGTCCTCGGGAAATTCAGCACATAGGATAAGCACATCGGCTCTCTGGTCAGACGGCCTGCGTTTGAATCCTGGCCCTACCACCTCCCTGCTGGGTGACCTTGGGCTAGTTATTTACATCCCCTTAGTTCCAGTTCTTCGACTATAAGACAGGGAGAACTGACTGTACAGCCTCCTTGGCCATTTGTGAGGCGCAAATTAGAAAATGCTGAGCTCAAGACCTGCTCAATAATTGCTTGCTTGCTTTTCTGTTGCACCTCTTAAGAGCCTCAGCAACCTCATCTATAAAATGGGGATAAGAAGCAGATGTGCCCTCCAAGTGCATCTGTGAAGCTAAATAGGGTCACAGAAGGGGATATGACTTGCAAACTTTAAAGTGCTATAAATGCGTTCTGGGTAGTTCAGTCATCTAAGCGTCCGACTCTTGATTTTGGCTCAGGTCATGATCTCAGAGTCACAAGATTGAACCCCGAGTAAGGCTCCGCACTGGGCATGGAGCCTGCTTGGGAATCTCTCTCTCCCTCTGCCCTGCCCTCTCTCTCTCCAATAAAAAAATAAAAATAAAAATTGAAAAATAAATAAATAAATGAAGTGCTATAAATAACAGTATCATCATCCCTTTGCAACAGATTGGCAGTTTCCCACCTGAAGAGCTGAGAGTGACCAGAAGGTACTGTGGGGTTTGTTATTTTAAACCAGCTCAAAACACTTGTGGACCGGGGCGCCTGGGTGGCTCAGTCGTTAAGCGTCTGCCTTCGGCTCAGGTCATGCTCCCAGGGTCCTGGGATCGAGCCCCGCATCGGGCTCCCTGCTCGGC